AATTCCAACTGACTTTCAAGTCGGGGCTTTTTCCTATAAAGTAATTCTCAGCAGAGTAGATCTCAGCTCTGGCCTAAACGCGTTATTACAGTACCCTTGTGTATCTAAATTCTCGTGTCTAATCTGACACAATCTTTCCCAACAGGGTGACAGGCTCGGGCCCTCTAGGAAGTACAAAATGAGGGGGATGGAACTTGTCTTCAGTAGGAAAGCCCTGTAGATGACAATGTGGTCTTGATGTGGTGGCCTGGTGAGGTGCATGGCTAAGTTGAGATGGGGAAAGAAGCCTGGGAATGCCCAGGGTGACTTCTGGTCTATGCTGCTGCTGTTGAAACAGTCTAGAGACTTTGTAGAGATGCTAAAATTAGTCCTGATCAACAGGACAAGTAATCAAAGGGACCTAATGGACCATGTGCCTTTGGGCCTGGGGTTGGGAACTCCCAGGTAGAAGGGGATATGGTGTTATAAACGGGAATCTTGTGATTTGTCTAGTTCTGAAAATGCTTCTCTCCAAGAATCTCTCAACTTACGTTTGAAAGTATTCTTGGAATGCTTCCAAAACGAGCTTTGTGCATGCTCTTTAGAGGGAATTGATAGGAGCCTCTAGAACAGTGCCAAGATACACGAGCCAAAAGTACAAGCCACATATAGTCAGCCCGGTTAAAGACAAAATTGAGTACCTTTTAACCCAAGAGATACTTAGACATGTAACAGCTTACTGTTACTGAGCCTTTGAAGTCTGGTACACATTTTAAACTTAGTGCATCAGTTGATGAGTCCCATCAAGTGCTCCATGCCTAGGGCCTATCCCATTGGAGAGTACAGCTCTAGATTAAATGTGTTAAGTTTCATCTTAATTCACTTGTTACCAGCTTTAGGGAAATGCTGCTCTAAAATGACTGGAAGGAGGCATCAGTACTGCTGTGAATGCAAATCCTTGGAAATTTCCAGGAATTGGTACGCTGGAACCACTTGTACTGCTTGGACTTTGTCAGAATGGTTGTAACACAAAGGCATTCTAGGTCAGCAATATGACCATTTCCATGCCCCTAGCAATCGCTTTGGTTATTGCTCATAAGCTTTGTCCTGGCATATCTAAAGCACCTATTCCAAAGCTCGTTTTAGTCACTTGTTCTGAGCACAGGAAATGGGAAGAACACAAGTAGCTCTCATTCACTATCTTCCAGTTTTCAGTTTGGGTTACTGGTATCCAGATCCTGGACCAACACAGTGAAAGGTTACTGGTATCTAGAGATCAAGTACTTGAGAACATTTAACATCTATGCTGGAGTGCCTGATTGCCTATCTCAAAAGCTGACAGGGCCGTGACTCCCCTTCCTATTATGCTTAGGCTGGTGTGTGCTTTTCGGCAATGTGCTATATTAGCTTTCTAAGCCCACAGGACTATAGATGGGTGTCTGTTTCTCTGACCTGTCAGAGCTGTGGGGAGGCTGAAGGGCAGGCAGCCCCAGGCTGACGCTGGGCTGGGCTGCTGCAGAGCCAGCCTCTGCAATAGAAAGGCAGCAGTCACCATGTCTGTTCAACAACCTTCACCTGGCCCTGAGAATGTGGACATTCTGAGACATACCTAGGAGGTAGGAAGCTGTCAAATCAGTAGCATTGACAGTGCTGAAGTAGTTCCCTTGGGAGCAGTTGACAAAAATACCAGAACATGAACTTGTTCATGAACCCACTTGAGGCCCAGAGTTAACTAAGGGCATTACCTTGGAAGCTCCCGTGCTCTTCCTCTCACTGCTTTCTCTATGCTAGATTATTTGTTACTGATACGGAGGGTAATGAAGAATCTGTTACTGTCTGGCTTTGGGCATGACTTAAGTGAGCCAAATACTTGAGCTCCTCTGGCAAGTGCTTTGCTGTAACCAATTAAGTTGTATAATAGAGTTGGCTATCTTGTCACTTGAATTTAAATATGGAAGAGTTGTTGCCCTCACCTTGTGAGTCTCCACCAACAGCCTCTTGGGGAAGCAACTAACACTTCATGATAACTGGAACAGTGCTTTCTACGACTGTCATCTTGATCTTAATGTTACAGTTAAGCAGAACTTGCTCCATGTTTCACTTACCAAGGAGCATTTGGAAAATTTGTCTTGGGATAGAAACCAATGGCTCCATCAACCCAGCAGCAAAGATGACCAATGTTTTACCCAAACTAAACTTTGGCCAACTCCAGCATAAATAGCACTTATGCAAGAAGAGTCTCCATACCAGTCCTGGTCTTGAGTTAATGTGACATCAACACGACCAAAGATGAGATTGAGACTGGCCAGATGTGTGACCTAATGGAAGACAATTAGTATGCTGGGGTGCCTGACTCTCTATCCCAAAAGCTGAAATGGCTATGGCTCCCCTTTCTATTATACTTAAAGCAGGCTGGAGTGTGCTTTAAGTACATTGAAACAGTCTTGATGGAAACAAAGCCTAGCAACAAAGGGCACAATGTATGGGGAAAACTCACTGGGTTCCATTTGGATTGACTCGGGCTGGAAGAAACAACATGCTGAACTCTCAGCTGTCAGCTTGTCACCTGCCATGTCATAGTTGGGTGACTATCTTGCTTTGTCCAAGAATCCATAGTGTTTGCACAGGTGAAGACCCTCCCTAGTAATGGAAGCTTCTTCCAGTAGACAATTGCAACCATGATTCAGAGGGCTTTTGCTTGAGGTCCTAAATGTCAACATGTGGAATTACATTTAAGTGTTTTGCTTATGATCAGGTACTAAGTGGTCTGACTGCATTTTTCAGCTTGACTGGTAGTAGGCATGCCCTTAGTTCTGTGGGGACACGTACATCTTGAACTAATGGATCTGTTAAACCAGAGTTCTCACAAGTGCTGGCCACTGCTTGCTATTCTGTTCTCCACCCACGCCCACCATTGGTGGGAACTGGGTATTTTAGAATGTCTTTCAAAGATTTCCGTACATCTCAAGGTTGAGACAGACTTGTCAGATCAACAGATGACACACGGTCCCAGATGAACTTGGAAGTAGAACTTCAAACAATATCTTAGGTACCCCCAAATCTATGCCACGTAAACGTTTTGAACCAATACAGCCTCTTTAGATTGAGGAAGCCACACTGGTCGGTGTACTTCATAGTGAATTCCCGACGGCTGTGCAGTTTGTTCAAATTTTTACTGTGTGGTTTCACACCTCTTGGTTACCATGATTCTGGTCAACTCGAGGGGGATTAAGAACAGCTTGGTCCATATATATGGCTACCTCTTTGGGTTCTCAGTATTATGGTTCCATTCTCATGTTCATACTAGTTACTCCTACCTAATCATACACCACTTCCCACCCACCTCTTGTCTTTCTATTAGGGTTATATTCCCTACCCTTAATTCCTACCACTTTAAGTTCTGTTGGATAGTGATCTGATGCCCTGTTAATGTTGCGGGCATTTAAGTCCATATACATTTCCATGAATATGTAGGACTGGTGAGCAGGAACAGACCAGTCATAACTCAACTTGGAAAATATCTGCAAATGTGGACAAGGAATAGTACGTACAAGTCACCCAGACTTCATGCCATTGTTCCTTATAGGAGTAACTGCCTCATAGGGTTTCACTATATAGAGGAAAGAGAAATCTGAGGCCAGAGTGTCACCCTCACAATTTCTCAATCTAGGAAATTATCCATTTTAGGTTGTTTTGAAGTCTTTGCATATACATTTTCCCTTAGAGTGACTTGCTATAGCTTGCCTTGATAACAAATGTCTCAATGGTTTGTGGTTAATGGTTAGGTATAACTCGGATCAATAAGCTAAGGCTCTAAAATTAAAAGCAAGCAGTCGGATGGGTGTCATTCTTTCCTTGCTCAACAGAAAGCTAGATGTCTTCAGACCACTCATGCTACAGGAAATGATTGTTCCCCTGTGCTTACCTGGCTCTTGAGTACACTGACTCAGATGTCACGTATGTAACATGGAGCTTCTATGAAAAGCTTTTGGTGTGGCAAAGTGTAATGGCTTAAATGTCATGAGCTTAGTCATATAAGTGATTGACCAAACCAAATAGACATAAAAGGGTGGAGTCAACCTGTCAAAATTTGGAGCATATCTTGGACAAAGCAGCCAGTTGGTATTCAAGAAGGGTTGTCTTTTTCTCCTTTTTTCCTTGGCCTGTGCCATAACCGCACCTAACAGATTTCTCTGGAGTGCCTTAAAATCAGTTGACTCCATGTTGTATACATGCAATGCATCCATATACCGTCTTGTTAACAGTGAAAATCTAGACTAGCACGATACTTGTCTGATTAGTGAGGCAATCAGTACGTACCAGACGAACCGGAAGTGATGGAAATCTTGGAGTTGTTACCATAATCAGTTTCCATTTAAACCGATGTATCTGAGAAAGTATTTATGGGCCTGACCTGCCGGGAACAGGACCTCTCAACTACGCTGTCCTTGTGGTTATCACCTGTATAACGCTCTGAAGCTAATCTGCACAAGGTCTTCCTTATACGAAGTGTATTGGGACCTGAACTTCAGGTTTGGATCCACAACCAGATACTAGTTCTGCAAGAAAAGGTGATGGTATGGTTGTGAAAACCTTCCGCATTCCCTGACTCACCTTGCTGTCACGGGCTTCCTACTCTAATTCCTCATGAAACGTGGTTGACACCTTGTACTCTGACCTCCTAAACAACCCAGTTGTCTCACTGCCCCTGTCTTCCTCTCCAGATTGTTCCAGTCATTCCACTTCTAGCCCTACTAAAACTAGCCTTGATAGAAATCTCCAACCCACAGACTTCTCTACTTTCTCATTCCAGCCGTTGCCTTTATTTCCTTGTTAGTATCTTTAAAGACCTCATTTTCTTCCTGAAGCCCAAGATGCTGAAAGGGAAGAAGGTGGCTCCGGCCCCTCCTGTCGTGAAGCAGGAGGCCAAGAAAGTGGTGAATCCACTATGAGAAAAGGCCTAAAAATTTTGGAATTGGACAAGACGTCCAGCCCAAAAGAGACCTCACCCGCTTTGTAAAATGGCCCCGCTATATCAGGTTGCAGCGGCAAAGAGCCATCCTCTATAAGCGGCTGAAAGTGCCCCCTGCAATTAACCAGTTCACCTAGGCCCTGGACCGCCAAACAGCTACTCAGCTGCTTAAGCTGGCCCACAAGTATAGAACAGAGACGAAGAAAGGAAAGCAGTCTGTTGGCCCGGGCCAAGAAGAAAGCGGCTGGCAAAGGGGACATCCCCACTAAGGGACCACCTGTCCTTCGAGCAGGAGTTAAAACCACCACCTTGGTGGAGAACAAGAAAGCCCATTGGGCGGCCGAGGCAGGTGGATCATGAGGTCAAGAGATCGAGACCATCCTGGTCAACATGGTGAAACCCCGTCTCTACTAAAAACACAAAAAATTAGCTGGGCGTGGTGGCGCGTGCCTGTAATCCCAGCTACTCAGGAGGCTGAGGCAGGAGAATTGCCTGAACCCATGAGGCGGAGGTTGCGGTGAGCCTAGATCGCGCCATTGCACTCCAGCCTGGGTAACAAGAGCGAAACCCCGTCTCAAAAAAAAAAAAGCCCAGCTGGTGGCGATAGCACACCATGTGGACCCTATTGAGCTCGTTGTCTTCTTGCCTGCCCTGTGTCGTAAAATGGGAGTCCCTTACTGCATTATCACGGGGAAGGCAAGACTGGGACGTCTAGTCCTCAGGAAGACCTGCACCACTGTCGCCTTCACACACGTGAACTCGGAAGACAAAGGCGCTTTGGCTAAGCTGGTGGAAGCCATCTGCACCAACTACAATGACAGATACGATGAGATCCGCCGTCACTGGGGAGGCAATGTCCTGGGTCCCAAGCCTGTGGCTCGCATTGCCAAGCTTGAAAAGGCAAAGGCTAAAGAACTTGCCATGAAACTGGGTTAAATGTACACTGTTTTCTGTAAAACAATGCAAATTTTCCTTCAAAAGAAAAACCTCTGTGTGTATGTGTGTGTGTGTTTTCCCTCTGGTAAATCTCAACCCTTCATGAATGTGAAGTATCTACTTTGTTCTAATTATAGAAAGGTAAGGCTTGGCTGAGTTAGACTGTAGTATGAACCATGTCTCTAACATTGACTTCTGATATTTTTCTGACTCCCAAAATATCAGAGGGGAGAGAAACCAGAAAGTGTTGGGCATTCTTAGTGAATTTGGACTCTTCTAAACATGTAGTTTTGCTTCATTCTTACAAGTTTCTCCTTTCAGATCACAAACTAGAGTAAAACATGTCTTTTTTTTTTTTTTTTGAGACGGAGTTTCACTCTTGTTACCCAGGTTGGAGTGCAATGGCACGATCTCGGCTCACAGCAACCTCCGCTTCCTGGGTTCAGGCAACTCTCCTGCCTCAGCCTCCTGAGTAGCTGGGATTACAGGCACGCACCACCATGCCCAGCTAATGTTTTGTATTTTTAGTAGAGACGGGGTTTCACCATGTTGACCAGGATGGTCTTGATCTCTTGACCTCGTGATCCACCCGCCTCGGCCTCCCAAAGTGCTGGGATTACAGGCTTGAACCACCACGCCCGGCCTAAAACATGTCTTATGCCCACTGTTAAGAAATACTGAGCATATGATAGAATATTTGCTGGGAAGAACAATGGCAAGGAAAACCTAGCTGCCCCCAACTCCCTGCCCCCAGTAGAAAACTATTTGGGGTATTCTAAAGTGGCAGGACAATATAAATATACAGTGTGTATACAGTGACTCTGTCCCCATGGCTCCCTTGTAGAGAATACTTGTTAGTTTGATCAGTGGTAAGTGGGCACCAGTTGCTTACCTGGTGTTCTTGTGTTCTGAGAAAATGCCAAATATTGACCTGTTGAGAGAATACGTGGGTCAGTCCGTTCCAGGCCTTCAGCCTGCAATGCTGTCAGCCCTTGAAGTGCTCAGCTCCAAAGGCTGTTGGGCCCTCCCCCACAGACTCACCTTGCTATTCTATCTGGGTGTCTGCTTTTCAATTCCTTCAATGCCGCCTGGGTCTGTAGAACAATCTCTATGGCCAAGTGGGTTCTCAGTTACTTACAACTCAGCGTAGCAGGAGAGTTGATGAATTTGCTTTGGTCTCTGATGCTTACCAACTCCTCCCTATTAAACCCACGAACTTCAGCAGCTGCCCTGCTCTAAGATGGTTCCACCCACTGACTCCTTTCTGAAACAGTCCTCGTGCCTCTGATTGCTAGTGGCTAAGTCCTGTGACTGTCCCTAGCAGCAGCAGTGACTCTGGGAGAGGGCCCTGGTAAATGGGTCTCGATGGGAGAAACTCCTCAAACTGGGGACGTGAGGCCTTAGAATGTGACAAAGTTCCACAACTAAGCTGAACTGGTTCTAAGGAAAGCTTACACGTCTACATATCTAATTGGTACAGCAGATAGCTGTGGTTCACCTGTACTCTTGAAGACAGTATGAAATTGAGCCTCTCCTTCAGTTCTACTCTGATCTTAGTTATTTCTTGTCTTCTGCTAGGTTTTGAGGTTTTTTTTTTGATCTTGCTCCTCTAGGTCTTCAAATTTTGATGATAGGGTATCGATTTTAGATCTTTCCTCGCTTCTCATGTGGGCATTTATTGCTATATATTTTCCTCTAGACACTGCTTTAAGTGTGTCCCAGAGATTCTGGAATGTAGTCTTCATTCTCTTTGGTTTTGAAGAACATCTTTATTTCTGCCTTCATTTCATTGTTTATCCAGTCAACATTCAAGAGCCAGTTCAGTTTCCATGAAGCTGTGTGGTTGAGTTTCTGAATTCTGAGCTCTAACTTGATTGCACTGTGGTCTGAGAGACTGTTATGATTTCCGTTCTTTTGCATTTGCTGAGGAGTGATTTACTTCCAATTATGTGGTCAATTTTAGAGTAGGTGTGATGCGGTGCTGAGAAGAATGCATATTCTGTGGATTTGGGGTGGAGAGTTCTGTAAATGTCTATTAGGTTTGCTTGGTCCACTTCTGAGTTCAAGTCCTGGATATCCTTGTTAATTTTCTATCTCACTGATATTGACAGTGGGGTGTTAAAGTCTCCCAGTGTTGGGTGGGAGTCTAAGTCTCTTTGTAGGTCATTAAGAACTGCTTTTTATATCTGGGTGCTCCTGTATTGGGTGCATATGTATTTAGGATCGTTAGTTCTTGTTGCATTGATCCTTTTACCATTATGTAATGCTTCAGAGCAGCAGGACTGTGTATCTAATCTCTGAACACAGTCCAAGGCTCCAAACATGAGGGTAGGCCCCGTTAGGTCCTCTCCTGGCAGCTTTTGCCTTCACCTTTGCTTCATTGTTTGGGCCTCTTGCCTCTTCTCCTAGGATGCTTCTAGGGTTGGCACTGATGATCAACACAATCCCTCCATCCCTTCCACCCAAGACTAATTGCTTTGTTGTCATTTGCTCAAGGTATTTTAGAAGAGGCATAGTTGGAAATATTGAGCTCGTTTTGAGATCTTTTTCCCTAATAACACTTTCTTGTGCTTGGATGGAAGGTTTAGGACCGGGCCCTGGTGCCTAGAAAGGACTGATCTTCTAGTCAATAGCGCTCAACTGCAGTTAAGGTTAAAATGGACCCTGGCTAGCTTTTGAGACTACTTAAAGACCAATTTGGTGCTCTGATCTGCCATGGACCAAGACTTTATAAAATGCAATAAAAAGAAAATGCCAAATCTTGTCAAATCTGCATTCTAGCCAACAAAGGGGAAGAAATACATGGTTAATCGGAAGAACATACAGGTGACAGATGACTACGAATGTACAGTAAGTTATCTGGAGGTAAAAAGTACATCTTAACGTTCTTATACAGAATGACTATTGTACATACAGTAACTAAAGTACTGAGGTCTTGTGGCAAATGAGCTTGTTCCACCTGAATATAGGTTGGAGTGATAACAATGCTACTCAAAGAGGAAAACAAACCAAAAGGCTTTGTTTTAATAGCTTTCACAGTAGAAGCCAATCTCATACCTTCAGAAGTGTGTTGACCAGAATGGAAGAATTGAAAGCCATTGTGGCAGACTCAGGGTATATTTAACTTAAAATGAAGTAATGCTTCATTTTAAACTTATTTGTAAGCATCACCAGCTACTTACAATGGCTTATCTTAGAAGGCTACAGTTAACTTCCTGAAAGATTCCAGATAGGAATTTTTCCTATACATTGATCTTTTGATGGAAAGCAAAATCCAGGGTTGTAATTCAAAAGGGTATGTCTTGTAAATGTGCAATATCAAAACTCATTGGTACTTCGTGAAGTTATGCAACTTTCTATTTTTGAAACACTAGTGTCTGCTTCTCTTCAATTTTACCCAAGGGAAAGGAACTTGGATGGGTTAATGAGACTAGTCTCAACTCACAGGACCTATGTAGTTAACCCTTCTAGAGACATCTGCCTTACAGTACTTTGAATTTTTTACTTCACAAATGTGTATGGAAGGGTTACTTCGATGGTGGAAGACTTGCCGAGCCTAGTACAGGGGCCCACTTCCGACTTTGGTTCTCTGATCCAGCATAACAAAGCTGGTCCGATTGATTTCAGGTGTAGTTCCCAAGTACTTTCAGAACCCAGTGGGCAAAGTGAGTTGAGTGTGGTACTTCAAATATCTAAGCTCTGAATTTGGGGCTCCTTAGTAGGCAGTCTTGCTCTGGTACACTAGCTACATATTGTTGCTGGCCCTGTATCCAGGGCCCCCCACTGGCATGTAAGAGGTACAGGTCGGTCTATGGGTCCTCAAAGACTTCTATGTTCCCTGACTGGCATTAGGAGCAAAAGGATCAGTCTCTCTGGTCACCCCTCCCCCACCCCTCACTACAGAGAGGGATACCAGTATCTGGTGTGAGAAGTGGAAGTCCTCAGCCAGGTCCTACTGTGTATGGAGGTGAGTATCTTGAACAATGGGGTCTCAGAAGCCATTTGAGAGAATCTTTGGGTAAGCATCTCCTCCCACACATGTTAGTTTGGCACACAATGGTCCTGACTTCCCGAAAAAGATAAGTGACCATAATTTTGGTCTAAGCAGAAGGTCCTGGGACATTAAGCACCTTCAGGTTTCATAGAATGTTGAGAAAGGCTGAGTGTATAAAACATACTTGCCAAGAACTGGCAAGGAAAACCTAGCCACCCCTCCACCCCACCAAATAGAAAACTACTTGGGGCATTCTAAAGTGGCAGGACAATATATAAATATTATACACCAGTTTAAACAAGCGCAGGACATCTGACCCTGCCCCCGTGGTCCCTCATGGAGAATACTTTTTAGTTTGATCAGTAGTAAGTGGGCATCAGCTGCCTACTTGGTGTAGTTTTGTATTAGAAAATACCAAACACTTGTTAACAATCTGTTCAGAGAATACGTGGGTCAGTCTATTCAAAGCCCTTGAGCCCGGAATGCTGTCCGTCCCCTGAGGCTCTCAGCTCGGAAGGCTGTTGGCTCCCCGATAGTCCCACTTTGCTGTTGTATCTGGGGTGTCTGCTTCTCAATTCCTTCAGCGCTGCCTTGGTGGGGGTTTCTATGGCCAAGCTGGTTCTTGGTAATAGAACTGCAGATGGCGTTCACAGCCTTTCCGAACAATACTTAGGGCATCTGTCCAGAAGTACCTGCAGAGTCCAAACTCGGGATTGTTTGAGGGAAGGACCTTCTCTAAGGTATTAGTGTGGTGGGAATGTCAGATTGGGTGGGTTACACTGCGGGAAGAAAGGAACTGCTTCTAGCAATACCTCTGTTGCCAAGTCTGCGGAGGAATTCGAGTGGGACGATAACAGCTGGAAGTCTCTTGCTGCTTTCCTGGAAGTAGCAAATGTTGAGGGTTTAGAGGAAGCTCCCAGCACAGGGTTAGGAGTTCTTAAACATGGGTGAATTTCAGGAAGCTTTATGAGAATCTGACTGGATTGTGGCTGGATTCTTGGCCCCA